TTGCATATAATAACATATAATATCTTATAATCGCATTTATATATTAAATGAATACCAATGGTTGTTACGTTTAAATAAATAAAATCAAATGTTTTAAAAGAGCGATCCATCTGGAGAAGTAGGCTAGGCGGGATTTGAACCCGCATTGTCCTGCATAGGAAAGTTGCCGTTAACTCACTAACCTGAGGCTCCAGCTGGACCGCTGTTAAAATGAAAATATGAACATGTTTAACAAGATCGTTACGAATATCACGTGACGGATGCTTTTATGACGTACTTGCTTCTTATTGGTCAATTAACTTGTCACGTAACCTTGACATTTCATTTACGAGCTTGTCAGTTTAAAATAATACATTATAGTTATAAATTGCTATGTGGCACAGTTCGTTAGTCTGCCTGCTTGTGAAATGCCTCGCATTCACAGGGTCCCGGGTTCGATTCCCGTCTGTGCCACTAGCTATGGGGAGAGCATCTGAATTTTCCGGGAATCTATTCATGTGGAGTGCGGCACACCACAACAAAGGTGCATTCTTCCTAGATCAAGAGAACCGTGAGGAGTATGGTATGAGGTGATGTTGTATTGAGTTACATTGTCAGGTGGTCAATTGTCGAGGTGTCAATTGTCGGGGGGTTAATTGTCGGGGGGTCAACTGTCGAGGGGACAATTTTCGCCCACCCAATGGATTATATATGTGATTGAATGCTATTACATGTGATTATATGCTATTATATGCTATTATATGCTATTATATGCTATTATATGCTTTGAGAAAAGGTCTAAAAAGGTACGTTTTGTGACAACAGAAATCCAAGGTGATGTTTCACAATTACCAAATTGCAGGAAAAATCACCTGATACCCAAACAAGGTCAGTTGCATGCACCAGTAATCGACCGGGATTAGCAATTTTGAGCTATCCCAGCCCCGGTCCCAGTCAAATGCTGGTTTCTGTGCAATAAAATCGATAAGAGTATTAGCAGTTATCATTTGAAAGCAGAAATCAATGGTGCGCTGACTACTGGTTATGAATGATAATCCAGAAAGTGATAGATCTCGAAGATGATCTCCGTCTGACTAGTTGACGTAGAATTTACCATGATCTCCTTGTCCTGTCTGGTGTGGTCCTTTAATGTCCCCACTAGGAAGTATTCCTACATCTTGGGTGCAGTCTTTGGTAGACTCAAGAGTTACATTTCCATCTCCAGGATGATGCTTGGCAATCAGCATGAAAATAAATCTTTGAAAAGATCTTTAATAGGTTGAATGCATAAGTTGGATCATATTCACCCTGCTACTATATGCGATTATTTGCAATTATATGCAATTATTTGCGAGTATAAATAATAAAATGTGATTTTAAGAGATAATATACGTGATTATATATGTGATTAAATGTGATTATATGCTATTATATGCTATTATATGCGATTATATGCGATTATTTTGCGATTATTTGCGATTTTATGCGATTATTGCTATATAATGGTTGTTGCATAGCATTATAAAACGTTTGTACTGCAGTTATGAATTCTGTAACCTGCTCATTCTGTGACAAGTCTTTTGCCAATAAATATAGTCTGTACTCACACATTAGTAGGTATCATCGAGAGAACCGAGAGTCAGATGAAAGTTCTGCAATTCTACAGCCGCTGTCAAAAGCTAACTCAGATGTGACTGATGTCAAAATGGAGGGTCCTGATTCTGTATGTTCAGATGCTGATACAATAGTTTCTGAAGAATCTCAGCAAGGTGGTTCTAACTCTGATGTACCAGGTAGTGGTGATGATGAATTTAGTGGTGTAACAAGTAGCGATGATGAGTCCAACAAAGAATATAGTGCTAAAGAGTTAGAATCTGATACTAACTGGCAACACGTAGGCAAGCGGAAAGGAGTACCAATCAAACAACCAAACAGTAAAAAGATATCGAGTTTACTTAAATCTCTAGACGTCCTGTTACAAAGTAAATTGTGTAAAGAGCAAAATAAATGTTTTGACATTTTATTCTCATACATGATGAAAACCGAATTGTTTGTTGTCTTGAAGCAGCGTTTAATTGACAGCGGAAAAGACCTAACAGATATTTTAAGTTTGGAAGAACGATCTCTATTGGATGCAGTTATCACCACTACAAGTCTATCTGATGTAAACAAACTGATGAACGAAAACACAACTATTGTCGATAAGATTCTCAAACTTTATCTGAATAAGTAGTTGGTGGAACTAAATACCTGTACTAGAACACCATTAACATGCAACTGTTATACAATGATTTATGTACCCAATCTTACTCTTGATGATTTCAATTTATGATTATAATGTTGACAACAACAAATTATCAATTAAACGGTAGCTTTATTTGTCTCTCGAAATTTATCAAATTTATAACAAGCAAATTTAATAGTTAATAATAGTGAATGGTATGGAGCCTTAGCTACTCCCTAGACTCGACTTTGAACCCTGAACCTTTTGTGCAGAAGACGGATGTTCTAACCACTAGGCTACCTAACAGTTGTTATATCTTAAAGGGTGAAAATGTGGTTCAGATACTGTAGCTATTGCTTAAATGTCAGAAAATTGATGATAAGACTTGTAATTTCCAGGAGGTCGAGCGATGGTAACCCTACACCACATTTCGTTATGTCACCCTCTGCTTATTTGGAGTGGTGACTGGACCGGGGTAAATCGTGAAGAATCATTTGACCAGTAATCAAGTGACAGGAGCCTGCTTGGCAGCCGTTTAATCAGACTTTAGATCCTTTAGACAGGATTATTGAATTATTCATCATGACGTTCTGACGGGTAATCAAGTGACTCCTGTCATGTGATCTTGAGGTTCAAATAACATTCATGTCACATGATGCTTAAGCTAAACACGTGACCGGTAATCAAATAACAGGAACCTGCTTGGCAACCGTTTAATCAGACTTTAGATCCTTTAGTCGGGATTATTGATTGATTCGTCATGACGTTCTGGCTCCTTATTGGTCAATCAAATGTCACGTGACCTTGACATTTAATTAACGAGCTTGTCACGTGGTTACATGACATGTGATCTGTCACGTGACCCTTGTGACGTGCTGTCACGTGACCTGAGGGCGTGCTGTGAGTGGCTGGGGGCTACTTGATGGCGGGCCTTCACACATTCCCATCTACTGGTGTGGTTCTTGCGCCATTGACCAGTAATTAGTTTTTTACTCATTGCCCAACAAGAAATATTTAGTGGAATATAAGCACCAGCAATTATAACGCCCTCTGACCAGCCGTGTTCCATTAACAGCTGTTTAAAGTTCATTATTTTAATAACCTCTGAAACGGCACCTGCAAACTCGAAAAATTATGAGAAAATAAATTCTCAGCGGTGATGAGAAGGTCGTGATTGGATCACTGAAACATTTAGTAATCTGCCCAAATATTGACAAAAATATAACAGCCCACTCTAAATACGAGCAGTCAGCTATAACAACGCTCACATAAAGACTTGTCAAGTGGTGATCTTACCGTGGCAAGAATAATATACCCCTCAGGATTTATCATGGCAATAGCAAGATCTTTCAGGATGATATATGTCATATATCATGGTAACAACAAGAAGTTTCGTGATCTGTGCTGTAAATAACGGGCCATATTCCCCGATATGGGAACGCCCTGATCAGAACGACCCAATGAAGCTAGCATGATCCACTTGAATGCACTTAGCAGTAGAACTTAGAACTAGTGTAGAACTAGAATTTTCATGCAGAACGATATAAGGATCCGGAGCAGCCCTGCTGATACAACTTTTAAAATAGTTACTGGCTCCGAGTTCCGACACCATCCCATGTGATTCCCATGGGAATGCAACAGGATCAAAAGTTACAAATCTAAATGAGGATTGGAAAACTGTTAGGACTGCAATTGGATTGGGAAACCAGACAAGGTATTTGATACTGATTCCAAATCGAGAACTGATTTTATAATTAAAGTGAAAATTGATGAAAAGAGGGAGAAAACTATGAGGTTTGTATGATATTCATTGACTCACGGTTCCATTCACTGGCTCCATTTTTAGACACAAATTAAGAAATTTTCGTATTTAAGAAACATAGCTCAAACTAATTAATCAAATAACAGGGGTTCAAAAGAAAACTGATTAATCACGAGCGTCTTTTCTTAAATTATGTGTATTTATATATATTTTATAGGTGTATTAATAAGGATTTATAAGTTCATTGATTCGAAATTCTCCTCTTAGATTGTAAATAGAACCGCGTGTTTTTTGACATTTGATTGATTTTGATGTCTGTTTCTTTAAAAAATAAAGCCGCGCCTTCGAATTTGTAACTGTAAGCAGAAAATAAATCTGTAATAAATAATAAATTTGTTCGCTCCGTGCTTTGCCGTGCATGACTCCTTACTAGCCATGCACTGATAATAATTAATATCTGACTTTGATAAACTCTGCATTAATCTTAACTATATCAAAATTTCATGACGCCATTAAATGCAAAGGATCAACAACTGATAGTGATATAGTAATACTAATATACGAATGTGACGAGAAGTGAGAAACGCTGCAGCAGCTAATGGACTATGGAGAGTGGACAGCTTGGATTAGGGGTGGTGTAAACACGCAAAATTGCAGATATGTCACGGAGTTGTACAGTTTGATTAATATAAAGCCAATAAATATAATTTACGCTGTACAAATCAGTGCGTAAATTACAATTCCTGAACATTCTAATGTAAAATTATAATTAGCACTATATCAGCGGATAAAATTCTTGTCTGTACTTCTGGGCTCTGTAACGTAAGAATAAGATACGCATTTTTCACGAGTCTATCTTATTACGTATTTCATGCCAGTTATCTTATCTTAGTCTTAGGGTTGTAATAAGTTAGACTGAGATTAATACTAATTTTACTAGAATCTATGCGCAGAGAGTGGGATTGAATATATTCACGTATCGATATCAGATATTTCTTAGTCAATTTTGTTACCTTGACAAAATAAAACTCAGAATAAGCTTGCATTTCACACTAATAAAACAAAATAGGCACTATGCAGACTAGGCACTATACTACTAGGCAGATTATGGTATGTGCCCAAATTAAATATCATTGATTATCCTAATCTGTATTTAAATACCTAACTACACTTAAAAAATGTATGATCACGAACTTACTGCACTACATTATCTAAATTCATTTAACCATTTTAATATGCCGTCATCGGATACACTGATTTGAAGTCTTATTGTTATCAACCTAATTTCATCTCGTAAATAATTTAATAAATTCCATTTAAGTCATTTGATATTATATCCAGATAAGATCAAAATGTATCATAAAGATCATTAAATATTTCAGAAACCTTAATTCAAAACTAGCTATCCATGTGTTATCCTATGAAAATTCATCTCTGTTAATCCTCCGTCATGATCAGAGCCTCCTTGTCTGTAGAACTCTGATGGACTGAGGTGACTGATCTTCCTGAAGCGTCGGCAGCAGTACCTTCTGGCATCCAGCTAGCTCCTCGTGGTGTGGAACAGGCCACTGTTTTACCTGGGGGAGGTCATGGTCACCTACTTGGAAACAGGACCATGAATTAACTAGAAAAACATAGAAAATGGAATGCCGTCAAGTTTATGGTTTACGGGGCCAAAGGAAAGGGTACAATCCCTTTTGATAATTTTGTTTACTATCAGCAACATGTAATGAACGTATTGTCATGATACCTGTTTTTACAGTCGTACTGGAGAAGTTGAACTTCTTGTACATGGACATGTTGAAATCCTCCTCCGTAGTTCCCATTTCCTTGTAATGCTGCTTTAGCCCATCAATCCAACCGTAACCCACCGAGTCTGGAAGGTACAAACATTAGATTATAACCCCAATATAACCCCAATATAACCCCAATATAACCCCAATATAACCCCAATGTTCTATAAAAAAGAACCATTACGATAACTTTTTGGAGCTCTGTGGTAACGGCTATTTTTTCGATGAACGGTTCATTATTAGACTAATGTCAATATGAAATACATCTTATTAATGCTTTTCATACAAAGTTACAACGAATTCTTCATGTAGTGCATCCTGGGTTTGGACAGGATATGCCCGTTTAAAATATTCCCATCACGTTACATTACATAATTCTCAATAAATGTATAATAGATTTGTAGTGTTGTAATTAGTTTCATCCAAATAGATCTTAAACAAAGCAACAGGAATGTAAAACCTGAAAACTGCTCCTTTTGTCTCCAGAGAACACTTTTAGGCAGCAAATCGTCTCTGTCACAAGCTTTCCTTAACACGCCCTTTTCTATCGGTCTACCTTCGTACTGAAAATAGTTATTACTTTTTACTAAAAAGTCATTACTTTTTACTGAAAACTTATTACTTTTTACTGACTCACATTCTAAAAGTCTGGGCTTAGGATCTGTTAATCGTGACTAAACTGTTGTATGGATATTTTAAATGTTTAAAATAGTTATATTAGTTTTAAAGCCGTTTATTTATTTACAAATGCATAATCCGCTATATTTCTACTGTGCAGCGTACCAAGAAATACCAAGAAAAACGAAAATATACCAAGAAATACCAAGAATTATTATCATAAAACTGTACCTTGATAAACTTGGGGTGTTTCATATTGACAGGTACGGTCATGGCAATATCAAGAAGTTCTGGGTCTAAGAAAGGTACTCTAGTCTCAACACTGCTGGCCAACATGGACTTGTTGGTTCGGAGACAATCGTAATAGTGCAGGTCCGCCAGCTTGTCCTTCATCTCTTCGTTAAACTCTGTGGGATGGGAAGTGGTTAAAAGGAGGCTTGGGGAGGTCAGATAAGACCCACCAACCTCCCTAGGTAGCCCCACTTCTTAGCGACAGTCGACATACACCATCTAAACTTGATTAAAATTATAAACGTTATTCGAAATTTTTGACGAAAGTGAAAGCTCGACTGATCAAAGTTAAGACGGAGGATCGGATTTAGATAAGAAAATTTTACACTGTGAAACCTTCATCATTTGGAGCGTAATGGAAGTAAAGATATCCACCCCAGGCCTCATCAGCACCCTCTCCGGACATCACCATCTTGAAGCCCCAGGACTGGATCTTCTTGCCCAGTAGGTACTGAGGAGTTGAGGATCGGATCGTTGTGGTGTCAAATGATTCTATCTTCGATATAACCTGTACATGGGGTTGGTTTAGACATTTTATCGGAATCGGCTGTACAACAAAAATATTAGAATGTGAAACAAAAATTCGCCGTGATAGGTTATGGAAACGCTGTTAGATTTATATTAGTGAGAATTAGATTTTCTGAGATATGTGACCTTCCCTATGAACCTAGGTCTGTGACCAGTTCCAAGCGAAACTTCACGGGACACAATGAATTCTAGATGAGCGCTATAACTTTAATAGTAATACGACTCGCCTGCGGGATAACATCTATTCCTTCTTGTAAAGTGTAGGTAAACTCGTGATGTATAGATCCGATGTGTTCAGCTACTTCTCTGGCGAACTTGAAGTCCGGAGCGTTCTCCAGTCCTATGGTGAAGGTGTGTATTTCGGCGTCCGGCCCTAGGACCTTCCGTGCCAAAGCTGCAACCAGAGACGAGTCTAGACCTGAGAAAATTTTCATTTGAATTACGGTGTTTGCATCACTGCTTTTATCAAAGGTTTTACTTGTTATTATTGATTTCCATGGTTACACAGACCAGTTTGTTATTAAATGATAATCACTTCAGATCAGGAATCAGCAAACTAGATCTATTACATACCTCCACTGAGCAAGAAACCGTTAGGGGAATCACAGGGTATCATCTTCTCCACTGCTTTGTACATTCCATTATATATTCTATCATACACCTTTTCTTCGATTTCCAAAGAGTAAACCTACGCAGTAATCTGAGTAAATTTCTAACCAAACTTATTTTCAGCATATTTCTGAGTACTTCATAAATCTTGCATAATCTCCTACGAAATCAGATAATCAATTGTAAAAATAGTCCATTTAGCAGAATACACATAGAATAAACCGACCTGAGGTACCCAATCCATGAAATACCACTGCTTCAGTTTTCCCATCTCGGGTGGGCCCTGGTAAGTCATTCTTGGTGGGAAGATCTCCACTACCTCACATACATCCACCAGACACTTCTGCTCGCTGGCAATGTAGAGTCTTCCGATTGTGTCCGTACCCCAGTATAGAGGGATTATACCTAAAGTTAGACTGGTTTGAGGTTTCACTCTCAATAAATCTAATCAAAACTTTTAATTATAGTACTTGAGGTAAGCTTGCGACAAGTTCTCTTTTCTAACTATCAAAAACTGTGAGCTGTTACTCAGTAATGAGCGCTAGGAATTCTTTTTCTATTTACACCTTGAAAAGGAATATAGTAAAACTAACGCTGCACAAACGTTTCCTTTTTCAGGTCAACATTGATTGATTACTTAAATTAAAGTTAAATACCAATGTGATCCCGCATGATAAAGATTTCGCCAGTCTTGTTGTTGACAATAACACAAGCAAACATGCCATCCAGTCTCTTCGGCAGCTCCTCCCCGATCTACAAAATGGTTATATCAGTGCCGTGAAGATGAATTACAGGGTGATTCAAAAATAATATTTGGATTTTAAATGTATTTCATGACTAGACTTTCGCACGTTACAAATCAAGCTTTTCTCTAGTTGGTAATCATCAACAAAGTAACAATTACAATAATTTACTTTCTTGGAAGAAAGTAAATTTGGGCTAATCTTACCGGTAATTTTAAAATGCAGGTGAAACGGAGTTTAGATTTCAATTTGCACTAACTACATGTATTATAGTAGTGCTATCTGGGGATCTGGTGATTCGTTTGTTGTTGTTGTTGATTAAAGACTTAAAGAGACCACATGTTTGTCCAATATTTGCTGGTCCACGTATTTAACCCACCTTGCTGAAGAGTTCAGGTAAAAGTTCACAATCACTCTTTCCCTTGGGCACGATGCCAAACTCTTTCTCAAGGGTCTTGTGGTTGTAGATCTCACCGTTCATCATTGCTGTGTACTCTTGGAAGTCGAAGGGTTGCCGGCCTTGTATCGTTCTGTCCATAATGTTGAGGCGAGTAAAACATAAAAGACCACCTAAGAGGGAGGGTTTGCAAAGATACAGGATAGCCCATAGCTGTCATCTACGTAAACTTTTCAGGGATTCGTTTTGATTTATGATCGGCCTGCTCTACGAACAGTCCATTTTGAGGAATGATCCGTTCAATAAACGGTTGGTTTATTAATTTAGATTAATCCGTTCGAAGAACAGTTAATAATTTGAAAGCAAAACTAACCTGTCACTTTCTGGCAGTAGAAATCGTCCGGACCACGATGGATTTGTTTATGAGCATTCTCCACTGCAACCATCCTGTCACAATTCTCACCAAAACAAGCGAATATTCCACACATGATAGTTTGACTGATTCCTAAGATTGGAATAGATTATATTCTTACGGTTTGACGACCATTTTGTGTCATAAGCAAAATCAGTTGTCAAATAAATGATGTTATAAGAAAGAAAAAGATAAGCAACAGTGGCGCAGGTCAGAGATATTGTGCACTGCTCGAGGCCTTTCTGCTACTACCAACATTATTCGAGGCCGAAATAATAAGCCGATGATACCAGGCTTACAGTCTGAAAGATTCTGTGGAAATTACAACAGAGAAATATGATTGCTGTGTGCACACTGCACATGGTACACTTTACAATGTACAGTGTACAATGTAGATGGTATAACATAGTATAATCGGGCGCAGCCTGAATATATGCATATCAGGGTATTGCATAATCCAACACTCTCAACTAATCTTGCTGATTTCCTACATAGAATAATCACGTCAACGGTCAAACAAACTGTACAAAAATGATTCTATCAGCGATCTAAGAATTTGAATGCAGGTTATAAGTTTATTTTACGACGGTAAATGAATATGATAAACGTACCTACAACAACTACAAATCAAGAGTTTGGTAATCGTATATGCTTATTGCTTATAGGTGGTGACGTGTATAAATCCCGATGCAAACTCAGGGTAAATATCTAATAATAACGCTGTAAGTTTTCTGCAAAATGTTCTAAAGTCCGCTGCATTACGTCACAGTAATCGTATTTAGCTCTAATAGTAGGTACAGTAAGTAACGAATCTAAGTAGGTAATCACATCGTATAAAGAACAACTGATGTTGAAACTTTGGATGTATAATGAAGACTTAATGTGACCATTGAATTTGAACAAAGCGATGAAATGTCACGCCCGCAAAACCGCCAGCTGGGCGACATTAAGTGACGTCAAAATCTATGCAATTACGTGGAATCTCAGTAATGATTGGCTCTAACCATCTTCAATTTCCATCTCAAATGGCTTGTTTACTAACTAATGAGATAACAAGTGAAGGTTTAAACAACTTGAGATGTAATCGTGCAAAGGCGTAACTGGTTTAGGTTGCAAAAACCGGTATACCTGAGACAAATAGACAAATTTGGAAAGAGTGATTATCTTTCCGATGTGACGGTAGGTGGCTCTCATATGGTCTAGAATCACATAAACCAATTTTACAAAAAGCCTGTTATTAACCTGAAATTTCAAATTACATCATCGCTATCCTGCAACAAGTAGCAGATTGCATTATCAGAGAGCGGTTTTTTTTGCTGTTACTGCACTTTGAGAACAAAACTAGGTGCGAATATTTTAATATTATATCTTATGTCATTATTCTACAGTCTAATTTACCAGTATCGCCATCACAAACATTCACGAAGGCTGTGCTCTACACCCGGTATCATTCAATTATAATGTATAAGCAGGGAGCAAAATAAATATAAATATAACTGGTAAAAAATGACAAATATAAGAAAGGATGTCAGTGACAAAAGGAACTGGTAGTGCCAGTTCCCACACCAGGCGGCAGCTTAGGCTCCACGACCTCCAATATTCTCCAGATAAGACGTTACATACCTTCCCTGCCTATTACCGAGTTTCTCTACAACTATTATACAACTATTACTACTACTACTACTACTACTACTACTACTACTACTACTACTACTACTACTATGTCGGAACTAAGTCTGATCTACGCCAGATAACCCCCTCCATATATCCCTGTCCCGCATCAGGGTTCGCAGTTCCTCTTTAGAGTTTGTCCCAACTTCCTTCAGAGTTCAGTAACATAGACAAGTAGCTTTGTCTTGGTCGGCCTTAATCTGCCTAATTCTCTCTTGTGGGTTCACTATGTATGAATATTAAACACGTCATTGTGACAAATTTTCTACTCTTCCAATCAGTTATATCGTTGGAAAACTCCAATATTTCGAGCATCCAAACAATATGTTTCCATCCTCGCAAAGTATGAAGTTTAAAATTCTAAAAAACTCAGAAATTATCTGTTGACATTTTTAAGGTTGTTAGACAGTCAGCTGATAATTGCGGTACCATCACACTTCACAGTTCCTGCTCAGGTAAATTAAGTAACTTAAGAGATTCCTGATCATATTTTCCCATCACATCTTTTGTCCGATTCATAAGATCTAATTTCTCGATTTTGTTTCTCGAACAAAATATGTCTTTTACAGCTGTAGCCGCTCAAAATTTAATTTTCAATTTCTTAGTCAGGAATTAAGCCGTTATTCATCAGATTCAAGTTCGGCTAGACTGGTAACCTTATATCTGAGACAAAGTTTTATAATGTTTACTCTGAGTAGGTCACGTTCTAGTATTTCGTTGTTTTTTTTTCCTTGCTGCTTCAATAGCAGGAATCAGGAATATTAAATATAAGATGCTGTACCTACTTCATCTTCTTAACTGTGAACATTGTCAATTGATTGAGTCTTTGTCGAGTTTCACTGGGTTCATAGATGTAATTCTACATCTAGAAAAGAGTTTGTTCAAACCCATTGGATTCGCAACTTAATCAGATAACGCAAGACTAATGAACGCAGAGTTAATGAACAATGAACATGCGCTCAACGGTCACTCACACCAACAAATTTTGTTGTTTTTTAAAGCTTCTGCGACTCAGATGGACATAATCCGGGTTTAAACTGGATAACTGTAGGTTTACCAATATTTGTGTTTAGATATCGGGTGCACTGTTCAAGTATTACTTGTAACTGTCAAACAAATAACGACATGGACATTATAAGTAGGTCAAACTATATTTCCTGAGAATATAGAAATATAGAAGGTCACGCAATTTAGACAAGTTATAAACTGTCAGCTTTCTTTCTACTTTATGTTTAAAACTTACACACTTATGAGAAAACGTTGGGCATCAGATGTTATTTTGTTGTTTTTTTTTCTTTTTCGTTTTCTTTTTTTTTGCAGGTTTTGTTTGTAAAAATCTGCATAAAAAAAGCTAATAAGGTTTGTCTGGAAGTCAACATTGAACAAAGCAAGATCTAATCGCAAACAATAGCATGTAATAAATGCTGAATCAAAAAGCTTTAAAGTTTTTATGGTGCTAGTAAGAAGCACTTGTAAAAAACTCGCTAGAATGTGTAAAAAATCATGCTTGATAACGCGAAGGACATGGATAAGACAAATAAAGACATCCATATTCCATGAGCTTGTGATGATTCCCTTTGAATAAGAATTCAATTTGTAATTGTAGTATGGATTATGATTGCGGAAATGAATTATTATTGCCTTTTATGTCCTAAAATCGTCACCCTGATGATCGTTAATCAGCACACTCCAGTCATCCGGCCGACTCAAGTGATACTGCGACATGCGACTACGTTAGTTTAAAATCTTTATCTTTTAATATCTGTGACTTTACTTATATGTCGCTCAGATGTCTCAATATCCTTTATTTCACTCGTTGATCAATCGGAAGATTCTAATTAAATTTAATGAACCAAGCTTTATTTGCTGGCACCGATAGTTTCCGTTTATAACACACTCCGGCATGCGCAGGTGTTTATAACTGTTCACAGTTCATTACGCCAGGAAAACTCTCATAAATCGAGTTCTCTTTCTTCAGCAACTCTAGATAACTTACCTAGAATCACTAAAAGTTAGACTGAGTATCCTTACATTACTCCGTATTATGTTAGACAAGACTGATAGCAGTATTCCGTTATTGGTTCCCTCAGTTACCTCGTTGTAATTGGATAATGAAGATTGCTAAGTAAGATCAGTTTTGTTTGTGTGCCTCCAACATTCTTTACCGACACACTTATTACAGTCATTTGCACTACCGTAGCACTACCGTAGCACTACCGTAGCAGTCATTTGCACTACCGTATCAAATACCAGCTTTTGCTTATTTTGGTAGCTCGTAGTTTTAGTATTTGTTTTTTATTTGCTACACCCAGTTCACATGATGACCTATTCAAGATCCACATGTTGAGCCGGCTACTTACTATCCGGCATTATAAGCAATTTGTTAATGGTGATCTGAACAAGGCACCCTTATAGGGTCATACGTTGGGATCATCAATCACAGCCTGCTTCGAGAAAGCAACAAATAGTCATTTAAGATGTATTCCTGGCTTGTTGAAGCATTGCATACTGTCTCCCTGGCAACGAACGTTAGAATAGCTCGGTATCATTTTATCAGCTGATGGTAGTTATGTTCTCCTATTCTTTAATGCTCTCAGCTGATTTTAACCTTACAGAAATTTTAAGTGTTGAATTGTGCCAGTTGGTTTTTGACGCTTTTTTGTCAGAATATCTTCAAGTATCATATTTTCGGCTGTACAAATTTCGAATATTACGTCAGTTAAGTCTGATAGAATTTACGGCAAAAGTTTCTGACTTTGAAGTCTCCGAATTTTCAATCTTCCCTGTGACATAGTAGTCAGTTTATTCGATCACTCTGTAGAAGTTAATGGTCGTTATTTCTCAAATATTTACCGTGATGATTTTCTGAATTTCGAACATTTGACGAGGAGATCTGGTGATGGATTACCTATCGAGTTCAGTAGTAAATTTGTTGAACAGAAATTCGAAAGTTTAACTTCTTAGAAGTTATAGAAGTAGCTATTTCTATATCTAATATTTTAGTTTTAAATAAACTTACAGGAAAGCAACATTTGCAAATGTTATAGTTAATATCTACTTTTACAATTAATATTGTAATAGGGTTTTGGGAGTTTTTGCAGTCCTTTTTGTCCTAATATCATTATTAACCTTTTCCGCTATAAACGAAAAGACCCGGTAGAGGGCAAATTAAATCTATTCCTGGTATAAGATTACTTTTATCCGACAAAGTGAGCAATCCCCGACATATATTGCTCTTTGTTGAGTACGGACAACGAAAACAAAGCTCATTTAGCGTCTTCATCGGATTATGGCCATTTAGAAGGTCTGTGTATTTATAATAGAGGCCAAGTCCAGCGTTACCATGGTACCCACGTCACGTAATCAGATTTCCAGTAGATTTTGTACTTCGAGGAGCAGATGTTTCGAACGCGAAACTTAAATCCTCTCTGGGGAACAAGTCGCTCTATTTAGTCTTTCAACCGTGCGATTTTTCAGCCGTGAAGTAAAAACAACCGTGTGCAATGTTTTTAGTCTGTACACTGTACAGGTTGTTGCGTTGTAGCGAATTATCAACTATTTCTTTTGGTGTTTGAGATAATGTTATCAAAATCTAGGCTTAATATTTTAAAAACAATCCTAATATTATTACACCTCTGATGACATTACTGGAAGCGCACAGATATGTACATACAGTTTTCTGGCTTGAGCACTTTTGGAAGTAACTATCAGTATCAGCTTTCTCACGAGCACACATCTGCTGTAATTATTTAGTAAGCTAAAGTTATACTGAATATATAAAGTAGCACTTTCGCAACATTTTATTACTAATAATATTACTTTTAATGGTATTATAATTGGAAATTGAGCGTCACACATTATTGAGAGTAAGCGGAAAATACTGTTTTCTCTCACACCACTTCACACTTAAAATGTGGGCTAGGCTTTTTTAACGCTTTCATAAGTGTAATTTCGCTGCACTAAGGCTTGTAACCCTTCACGCTTCAAAGAAACTTTCTGGTCTATCCGTTTTAAAAAGTTATACAGTCGTAAAATTCAGACAATTGTCACAATTTGTTATGTTTGTGATTAGTAAATAGTAATGCTGTTAAACTGTTGGGTAATTCAACACCCCTCGACACTCTTATAAAAGCTGGAGATATCGCCAAACCATTGCCATTGTCTATGCGTTGGTTGTTGATAAGTCATAATATGACATTATAGGTCATAATATGATATTATTTGTGGCAATCTAGGGTACAGGGATAATATT